AATGAAATTTTAAAAAAAAAAAAAAAAAAAAAAAAACCTTCCTGGATAGACAACAATCTGTAAACGCTATTATATTCATTACTTGGCTAGCCATGGAATCGCATCCTGCAACTCATGCCGTCCCTAAATAATTGAAATCTCACCCAATGTGGTACAGAACTAGCTTCAAAATCTTGTTAAAGGTCAAAAAATCGATGATATCAATATTTTAACGCAGCATGTCCTGTGGCTCCCAAATGCTTATGCAGTTTATTCCTGTCATGATTCATCAAAAGCCCACTTCAAATTGGTCCAGTTATTCTGGAAGTGATTGTGTTATTATAAGATATGAAAGATGTGTTGGTGAATAATAGATGAGGGGATTTCTAAACAAGAATTACCTTGATTCAAACTGCTCTCCACACGTTGCGCATAAATTGCCAGAATCCTTTGATGTTGCCCAAGTTTAAAACATTACATCATCAGAAATTGTGAGCACAAATCACTATAATCAATACTCTAACTAGAAGGAAGCCGAGTGGAACATTGAACTAATACGAAGCTTTCCTAGTTTATGTTCAACTTTCTTAATTTGGGAATACATGATATCTTTAGTTCATAACATGAAGAATCGTTGCATATTACTGATAGTCTAGCTAAAATAAATGATAGAATTATAAAACAGATCTGCACAATGTAAATTACCTTGGATTTCTTTCCTTTAGATGAATGCCTAGAGTTGATCTTTGTGTCATTCTGCACGACCGCCTTCCGATCAGCAGGTTTACTCAAAATCTTTCGTTCTTTTGCCAATTCACTGGCCCCCTTATCGCTACTTTCGTTGTTTGCCAGCAACTGGGAAGGAGAATCCTGCTGATGTGATGTATCATCTCCATTGATTTTCTCATTTTGTGAATCTAATTCATTCATAGCTTCATCATTTCCCTTGCCCTTCTTTTTGGCTCGACGACTTTTTCTTCCCCTCCTACCATTATCATAATCCGCTGGATTACGCTCGTCATTCTCATTTTCGACCTGAGCTTTGACTGGAGAAGCTTTATGCTGATTCACTGAAGCTGCGTTTTTTCTATTTCGGAGACCAGCTGCCATTGCTTCAAGAACATCGGTTTCATCGTCATTGGATCCTTGTGCCTCAGCACCCGTATCTGTTCTATCACCTTCATGAATATCGTTGTTTTCACTCCCACTAAGTTCTGCCCCACTTAGTGTTTCTTCTCCTTCAATATCAAAACTCTCCTTGAACTGCTCCCCTAGTTTATCCATCCCATCATCCAGCAGTATCGTTTCTTCTTCAACTTCTACTTCGTCGACAAATTCTTCAGATTCACCCTCATCGACTAGTGTTTCTCTGAACTCCGAAACCTTCTCCTTGTGCTTTTTCGACTGCTCGTGATTCTTCCACTGCTTTTCACTCTTGAACTTTTTCCCACACAAAACACAGTAAAGCTCTTTCCCTCTCTTATTCTCTTCCTCAAACTCGTCATCCTCATCGTCCTCAACCTCCTCAACCTTTGCCCAATCTGGTTCCTCATATGCCCTAAGCTTCTCCATCTTCTCCCTCTCTAACCTTTTTTTCCTTTCTTTCTCCTCTTGCTTCTTCTTCTCCATTTCCAAGTTCCTTTTCATGGCCATATCGAGCACTCTCTTATCCCTCTTCCTCACAAACTCAGCCAAACCTCTCACCGTCTCATTGTACTCCTTCTTTGCCTTCTTCCTCAGCTTCTTGTTATCCTCCTCCATTAGCCTCCTCGATTTCCGGTTGGGACCGGCCATAACATCATACTGATCAGCCCAACAAAAATCCATAACCGTACAAAATCCAAGCCAGTAACTATAAAACGCAGTCACCTGCGTGTACGGACTATCCAAATTCCCCATAACCGGAGCTTCGCGAACCATATCCAAACGCAATCCTAATTTCTTGGCGAAATTAATCTCATTTCCGTAAATTTTGTCAAAAATTTCAGAATAGATCTTGTAAAACCCTCGTCCAGAATCCGAATAGCCAGAATAAACGGTATTGGAGAAAAACGGAAACAGATTCGGAACAACAGAGTTAGAATTAACCGACGCGGCATCAGAGAAAAGTATTTGGGAACGGTGAGAGTCGTACCAGGCGCGTTCCTTAGGATCGGAGAGGACCTCGTAAGCGTGCTGAAGCTCTTGAAACTGAGCCGTGGCATCCGCCGGCGACAAACCGGACTGGACAAGCTTATCGGGGTGGCGCTGGAGGGCTAGCTTTCGGTATGCCGATCTAATCTCATCGGCGGTGGAGTCGATGTGCAGGCCCAGAACCTCGTAATGGCATCGCTTGCCGGACGCCATCGAGTTAGGGATTCCGCGCTTTCTTCTGCTCCCGTGGGATTTTGGCTCAGCTCAGGATTGAATTGAATATTTATACGAAAAATTCAAAGTCTTCAATATTAAATTAATAATTATTTATTTAATAAAAAAATAATTTACAATATATTTCAAAATTTTAATATATTGCAAATAACATTGAAAACTATATTTACACTAGTTTGGACATAAACTTAAAATAATAATAATATTCCATAAAAAGAAATATTGATTTAATTCGATAAATGGTTGAATTTTAAAGAAACTATATAACAAAAATAAAACAATTGCCAATTAATAAACTCGTTGTATTAAACTTATTTAAACCCAATTTTGAAATATTTAAGATTTGTCTCTCAATGTATTTACTTTTTATTTTTCTGCAAAAAAAAAAAAAAAAAAAAAAAA